AAATTTTGGAATGTGGCGGACATGATACAGAATTTTTGATAAAACCATGTTAAAGTACTCATGTTCATGAGCATTGTAGGGTAGTTTCATCAGTAGTTCTTCTAGGCTTCAAAAGTTACACCAACTTGAAAATATGTACCCAACATCATTACGGCACCTCATTATAGATGCTTGTAAGTCACATAATCACACTGATAAATAGGGAATGGAACTTTTTTTACCTTAGAGGTGGAAAACTTTGTTTCCTTTTATTTCTCAAGGTCCAAACTGATTATTCTGGTGTAGTCACTCTCACTAATTTTATACGTCCGACCAGTTGTTGTGTCGGGAGTGTCCACTTTGCATATGAACATGTCAAAAGGCACCCAACACTGATCATCTCTTGTTGGCCATGTAAAGTCTAAACTTGGCCCATGTGGGTGCATGAATTTGACAAGAATGTCTTCCTGCTCTTGGTCTATTTCTTGAACCAATCCAACCCACCAGAACGAGTCATACTGGCAGGCGATGAATTCCATGATCTTCACATCACAAACTTGATCAGCCGTCACAGTGTCAAAAAATTTAAATTTTCCAGCTTCAGCTTCATCATCACTAACTCTCTTGTAGCTAACTTCCCCTTCAGAAAGAGGAGAAAAATGATGATAACTCCTTGTACCAGGAATTGTTTTTCCACTTTCAAATCTAGTATACAGCATTGGTCTGATCGATGTCATATCTATTTTTGTAACCTTCAGAAATTTGATACCCTTAATGTGCAACTCACAATACTCGAACATTTTTTCCATGGACAATATTTGATCAGCTAAAGGTCTCTGCATACTAGCTCTTGCAACAAGTCGTTTAACTGTACCTCCAATACCATCACAGGGAGATTTTCCATGACTGGTTGCAAAGAATGCCCACCTTGCAGTTATACCAAAATCAATATAATGATGGCAGAGATTTATAATGTTCTTAAAATTTTTGTACTGTCCAGCACAACCATCTGAAAAATATAATATGTCCTTAACATCAGGAAGCTCTCTTTTCAGGTATTTTACAACCTCTTCTTGCACTTTATAAACAAAACAAGTGTCGTGTTCCATGTCATCAGATATCACACAGATAGAGTCACAGTGAAGTTTACCATCCTTCATGTGGTATAGGGCAACTGGGTGTAGGGTACAACCGATTTTGTTCCAATGAAATCCTTGGATTTCATCCTGGACCATAAACTGATAATTCTCTGCAAAGTCAAGCAAGGCAATGCACGAGTTTTCGCTCAGGTTGTCTTTGAGATTCTTCAAGTACCTGGCTTGACTCTTTGCTATAAAAGAATGTACAGTTAACTTAGTGATAGCATTAACCAGAAGTTCAACAAATTCTTGAGCAGTTGTTGTTTGGGTACATAACATAGCTCTATCAGTCCCCTGCCATTGCTGGAAAGAAATTTCTTCTTCTAGTGAGTCAGCAAACATTTCATCTAAGTACTCTCTCAAAGCATTTTCTCCTGGACAATTTTCACAACGATGGATCATGCACATCTTGTTGTTTATATCGCAGACGACCATCGCCATGAGGTCGTGATAGTCTTTGTCAATGTTTGCTCCGTGCACTAACAGTTGTGCATTTTGATGGCTGGTACAAACACAAACAGAATGAGTCCCTGAGGAACCAACAGAAACACACCACTTGGGTCTCAGGCTGCAAAATTTCGAAAAACCAACCTTTGCATCTGGATATCTTTCTTTAAATGCACTGTACAACTCCTTTAAATTACAGAGGAGTAGTCTTCGCTGTTTATGTACATTTCTTGAGACACTAACGTAGTCCTTTTTACCCGGCATAAGTCTTGAAAATTCGTCATCTTCAAAAAAGTTAACAACAAGTGATTTGGTGTCTTCCAGAAGTGTTTTGCCTTGTCTTGGATTTGGTACCGATATAATTCCCTTTTCTTCTTTCAATTTTCTAGCAGCACGAATAGTATATTCTGGCACTTCAAAAAAATTAGCAGCTTTTTTTCGGGACCATGACTCAGGTGTAAGTGTCAAAATTTGAATTTTGGTTTTGTAATCAGATATTTTGAGCTTTTCCTTCATAAGATGAGTTAATCTATCTAAATCAGCAGCTTTTTCTTGTAAGGTGGGTGGGATTTTTGCACGAGGGTCTTTTCTTTTCAATTCTTCACAATCAACATCGATCGCAGCTGCAACTCTTTCCTCAATTGATGCACATGCTCGATCTATTTTGCCCTTTGCCTCATTGATTTTTCTTTGCTTTGATAGACCGTGTGTTTTTATAGGAGAAACTGCTAGCTCCTCAAAACTGGTGTTCATCACACCTCTTGCAGCCTCTTTTGTTGCATCTCGTTCAAATTCTGTTATTTCATAGTCAATCTCATCACCTGCTTCTGCAGGCTCGTCATTTTCTTCTTCTTTTCTGGCCTTGTGAAAACAATTTCTACAAAGTTGCCAGCCAGGTATTACATCTATCCCTTTTTGGCTAAGTTGCTTTGCCAAATGAAGGGTGATAATATGGCTGCCTTTTGCCTTTGCTTTATGAGAGTTGAAAATATTACAACATTTGTTGAATTTTCTTTCAAACACGTTGCCATACATTTTGCTATGATGCATACAAATAGTCATATTTGTTTTATCTTGTTGATGAGCAATTCTTGCCCTCATGAGAAATGTTTCTTGTACATCTTCAGAATAATCACTAAGATTTTCCATACCTTGTTTTCTTGTATACGAAAGCTTATGGCATTCATCTCCAACAGTTTCACCAAAATCACACTGACTTAAAGTGGTGTCAATATCCATGAATATTAATTTAAAAACTACTTAGAAATTGTTCAAATTTTATTCAAATTTTTAAAACACAATTAGGAAAACACATGGTAAACATAGTACTTCCACAATGTTAGAACAAATTTCCTTTTTTGTGCTAAAAAGTTCCTGATGTTCTGATATCAATGTTATATGATAGGTATAAATATTAAATAATAACTAATAAATTGTATGAACAGAATGATGAATTATCAGCATCTATCATCTATAATAATGTTGCTTAAGGGTAAAAACATCAATTTGGGTACATATTTTCAAGTTGCTGTAACTTTTGAAGCCTAGGAGAACTATTGATGAAACTACCTTACAATGCTCATGAACATGTGTACTTTAACATGGTTTTATCAAAAATTCTGTATCATGTCCGCCACATTCCCAAATTTACACTTAAAGTGGCGTGACGCATATTTGAAAAAAAAATTAATTGCCATGGCAATAACAGCTCTCCTATTGGTTGTAAGTAATTTTTAGTATCAGTTTTGAATTCTACAGCATAAATTATGTAATCCCCCAAATTTTATAATAATAGCTCAAATAACCATGATTTTATTACTATTTTACTGAATCGCTACCCGCGAACTTTTGCTCGGGCCACACCCCTTTTTGATCAAATTTCTCAAAATACAAAGTCCGACATCTCGGAAACTAATCAAGCTACAAGTCTGAAATTTTGGATTTTGGCATGTCTCATGTTGCTTGTTATTTCCTCCAAATTTGAATAAAATCCAAGAGGGGTGGTGTCATTTTCAAAAATTTCTGGATGAATTGACATGGAATTACCCATTTATAAGAAAAAACCCCGAGAATTTAATTGCATGCTTGGAGTAGAAATTGAAGAACAATACATAAAATTTCACCTTCCGTACACTCTGTATTGGCGGCCTCTTGCATTTTCATAAAGGCGCGAAATCTGGCAAAAATTGACCTGCTCCTGATCTGGTCTATATATTCTGGTCGGAGCGGCCCCGACATAGACAAGTTTTATATTCCAATTAACAATTTGACCGGTCTGGCCATGTAAATGGAAAGCGCCCTCCGATTAGAACGTTCATGTTACATAAGTTTACGTTCGAATATATGTTCGAAAAATGACAATTACATGCATATATGACGGTGACAAGAAGTTAGTTAATTGGAATATATTGCCACAAGCTAAATTAGTTAAGTCATTTAGTACAAACAACACATGTCAGTTCTTTACCATTGCCGTATGGTGGACAAGGAAGAGAACCACATTGACTTTCAACAAAATACAGCAGTGCACCATTATGATCACTGTGAGATCCAGTTGTACCTTCAGCATTTCCATCAACACAAATAAACTGGGTTCTTCCATTGTGACCAAGATGTGCTGACATGAGATAACCTTTATACTCCAAGGTCCAACCAGAAGGACAGACATTGCGAGCTGGAATCATCAGGTGACTACCACGTGACTCGGTGTGGCAGACTGCGCAAGGTGCGTCATGATCGTGAACGTTTTGGGGAAATATGTTTGTATTACTATCTATCTGGTACTCAGTACCGTACATATAACTGTATCCTTGTGCACCCGAAGTGATTTTGTCAAATATTGGATTCAATGGAAGACACAGATAGTTTGAACCACCACCATGGTGATGATACCATGATCCACCCATCACACCTAAATATTAGAATGAAACATCAGAATCTCATTATATCTCTCTAAAGCATGGTTGGGAAATAATAGATGCATTAATTAATTACTTTAACGGTATAACGTAGTGAGGCGTGCACGCACTATTGTTCCAACTTCACAAGAACATTCTTTCATTGGATTGCATGCAACCACCCGGTAATTAGCAATATCCTTTCGGTATCATGGGGATGCAATTTCCAAACTGTAACACGATTGAACGTGCATGATCGATAGTTAAATTAAATTTCTTCTTGTCGTTATTACATGTACCCAAATACCTATTGTACAAAAGAGAGTCTAACAAGCTGTAAAATGAGCCAAAAATCATATATAAATAAGAGCTATTATTCTGAAAATTATCATGCAATAAAATATACATTAGATTTGCGTTTTTTATACAATTTTCCCTTCTTATCGATCCCATTTACATATCAGAGCTACACACAAAACGTCCAGTTTCAGCCTAGGCTACAGTGACCCTAATATGAAACTATAATTAGTTTTACCTTACGATCAGGAAAAGGAGAATTCCACCCCTCGGCCGGCAATAACCCACTATTTCTGTAAGTTTGATAGGTTATTTCATTGTCGCATTTTAAAATCTTGAATTCGCCTTGTTTATACTAGCTATCCATACAACAAAAGTAGGAATTTAGAAATATTTATTTGGGGCCGAAAAGAAATATAAAAATATAAATAATATAAATATATTATATAAATATTTATTATATAATATAAATATTTATTTTATTTTATTTATTTTTTTTTATATTTTTTTATATTTTTTTTTTTGGTTTTTTATTTATTTATTTTTAGGGGCTTCGGTGGCCAAGTGGTTAGCGCACTTGCCTTTCACCTCTGAGGCTGCAGGTTCGAGTCTCACTAAGTACCTTCTCAGTGCGACTCGAACCCAGTCCCCATGTGAAAAGAGTAAAAAGTCAACGCTCTGCCGAAAGCCGTGGGTTTTCCCCGGGTACTCCGGTTTCCTCCCGCGGGGAAAGTTGGCAGGGTGAGTTAGGTAAAAAGGGCCCACAGTAATTGGCATATGCTGTTGTGGTGACCCTGCCCTAGTTGGCAAAGCTAAATAAATAAATAAATTTGTTATACTCGTTTGTTTTCTTTATTTTATACTCCCAAATCAATCCCGAAAATAATCGTGGAAAACATGGAACTCGTACATAAAAACACGACAACGAGTGCTTTGAATAGCTTAAAATACGACTACCAAAAAATACTAATTAGGATGAACAATTATATAATCATACTAATTAGGATGAACATTTATATAAAAATTACTAATGAAGATGAGCTTTATCAGATACAAAGTCACTCCACGTGGCATATTATGACTGACATGATTTGCATGTCAACTGGTTTATGAATTATTAATGAGTATTTTAGTGTGCAGTGATAACCAATCTACTTGTAGAGGCATGAATAAATCTACGTAAAAAGAGTCTCACCAAGTCCACCGATTTTGCTAGAAACGGAGAAAAATTTAACAGAATACTCCAGTTTCAATTTCCCAATGTTTATGCCTTCTAAAGAATTAAACGAATATCTCAAGCGCTCTTGATGTTAATATAGCAATGTTCCAATTCAGTTGTTAAATGTGATTGTATTATGTCATAGAATTTTTTAAGCAAACAAAGGCAAAAATTCATCGGTATATTTGGGTCATTGAAAAATGAATGTAAACATAAACCCAGACATCAAGCTATTAGCTAATATTTTTTTTGAAATTTATATTTGGATTTATGGATTCAATTTTTATTCACCCTGCACAGACAGGTCAAAAGCATTTTCGCATATTATAGCAGGCAAGGTAATTATTGTAAATAATGTGCGCACATTTAACAACGTGTAGACGTTTTTGTAAAATTCAATATGTTTTGTTAATTAAATTAATTTAAAATTTCATTTCATACATTTATTAATTAATTAATTAGTGGACAACGTTGAACGTGATATCGAGAATTGAACATTTGCGTAGTAGACTAAATTTTGATCTAAACAAGTCTAGACAAAACTTTCATCACAGCTTGAATGAGCATCACAAAATTAGTAATATTCCAAAGTTTCGTTGCAAAATGTTGTAAAATGCGGATAATATAGCCTTGCGAAGTTTGCAATTTTCAGTCATTTTAGATTATAAACGGGAAATTGACAGCCCCAAAGGGGATGGGGCTGTCAATTTCCCGTTTGTAATCTAAAATGACTGAAAATTGCAAACTTCGCAAGGCTATATATTATCCGCATTTTACAACATTTCGCAACGAAACTTTGGAATATTACTAATTTTGTTATGCTCTTTCAAGCTGTGATGAAATTTTTGTCTAGATCAAAATTTAGTCTATTACGCAAGTGGTCAATTACAAGGCTGAGGTTGTGTTATTGGTTGAAGGATAACTTCACAACTCAATTACTCAAATAACATTTCAAGAAAACACCAAGGTGGTTTAAAAATAGTTTTAGGACTTCGACAATGGCCTCTTTCTCTTGAAGGTCGCTCAATTGCTGAGGTATAAGATACTCATTGAAAACTATTAATCCTGTCTTTGTAGCTCATTTAATGATTCCACTTCTTTTTCGTCCAGGAATAGTTTTTCAATACCTGAATATAATTCATTAGTTCCCGAAGTTTGAGGACAGTGTTTTCTACCCCAACGTGTGAACACCACTCCTCCTGATCCACCTGCTTCTCCCTTTGCACCTGGAGCTCCCGCAGATCCTGCTTTTCCCGGTTTTCCTGGAAGACCTGGCAACAAATGTGATGAACAAATTACCGACTAACAAATAATTATTTCTTATCTTTCCTATCTTTTAATTCAACAATATTATAAGATATACTATATTTCAGTGTGTTTCGCTAATCATGTACTACCGCGCTTGGAGTGGTGGCTATATAGTCAGAATAAGAAAAAATGTTGACCATTCGCTTGCGGCAAGGATGCTTTCTCTTTCTATGCTGGGGTTTTAATAAATACGCGAATGCAAAGTCCAAAGTGGAATTCCATTTACAAACCAACGTTACGACACTGTGGTCTAGTGCCTTCATCAGCGGACATGATCTAAAGTTGCATCACAGATCCTTATATTTTCGAAGCATGTACGTAGCTATTATTACTAATTAGTCAACAAGGAAGAGATACTTTTGTTGGAAGATGTAACCGTATAAACTCTTATTTAACTAGAGGGCACTCAGAGACTGCATACCTCCGCCCGTATTGAATTTCGGTCGTGTGAAATGCAACTAAAACAATAGATAATGAAGGCTGAAGTTTAATGAGGTTTATCATCTCATTATTGTCTTAGTACTGCGTGCATACATTATACACGTCCTAATTACGCATTCAGTAAGTTTTTTTAATTGACCGGGAAAAGCAAGACACAATTTTGTTCATTCTCGTTCAATTGTTAACCAAATTCAACCAAATTTTAATCAACTCTTCCTTAGCCGATGGGAAATGCATTAAAAAAATTTCATATGAATATGTGTGGTATTTCTTGAGTTATCGCGCTCACAGACAAACACACATACACACACATACACACACCAATACACACATACAAACCCAGATGATTACATAATCTCCTGGCGGAGGTAACAAACCCAGATGATCACATAACCTCCTGGCGGAGGTGAAAACCCAGATGATTACATAACCTCCTGGCGGAGGTAATAAAAGAAGATGATTCATGTTTATATTCTGACAGGTTGACATTACAAGTCAATGGACAGAAGTATTTATATAGCTACAGAGCGACCATGCATGACCTACACGTGGCTAATTGAAAATTTCGTATCCATACAGTACATACTAGTCACTCACATAACTGTGTTGAATATATTTATAAAACGCATAGATTTTTATACAATCACTCACCACGTAATCCAGCATCCCGACCATCTCGCCCTGTACAAAGGATATTTAAAATAAAAAAATATTTTCAAAAGCCCACTGCAATAATGTCATTTATTAAATTTCTTTATTAAATGCGTATATTAAATTTCGCTCATTAACATTTATTACTGCAAAAACTAACGATATAAAGTCATGAAATATATTAGCCATAAGTAAAGACTGCACAAAATGTCTCCATGTGCATGCATGGATCGTAAACGGACATATTTGGGATATTAGAGAGGTTAAGATACCCCGGTTCCGGTTTACGGGTACGAGTATCGCCATTTTGTTTACCAATTTTTGCTGATGTCAGCAATTTTACCGTAATTTCTACCCGTTTCCCCGCGGTAAACCATAGTCTACACGTAAACGACAAACGGGTACGGGTGTTTTCTGTTTACTATTTTTAGGCTGTTTAAATAGTACAAATTTTCAACATCTTACCCAAATAAATAATGCACATATGCTGGTCAAAGTATTCAACAATTTATGGCGAACCTCAACAGCGAAAGTTGCCATTCTCTGATCGGTTTTCTTACGCCGGAGTATCTTGGATTTCTTAAGCTACAAGTTATTCCCCGATTTACGGGTACGGGTACGTATATCACCCGTACCCGTAAACCGGAATCGGGGTATCTTAACCTCTCTATTAAAAGATTAGACGTTCTCTGACTAAATCAGTATTATTTATTAATACGAGCTTTCGGCTACCAGTCTGTAGCCTTCGACAGGAGATAGATTAATGACAAAAGGACGCTATAAGTATATTAAGGTTACTTCACACGATGAACGTGCGTTTTAGTCTATTTGACATTGCGCAACGAATTTTAGGTGTAACTTTACCAAATTTTCAGTGAAGAAAGCCAGGAAAATGCTGATTTCGAAAATTTTCATGTAATGAGTGTTCAGTTTAAAAATTTTCAGTATTGGCTGACTGAGTAAATATGTAGGTACCTTCATAAAAAAATCAAAATATGTTTATAGTTTACCTCAACGTTTGTCTAGATATCGCAATTCGAATCTTCATAGGCACGGTAAAAAAAAGGTCTGCGGAAAATTTCTCTTCTTTTAGTGGTTTTTCTGATATGCCCTGATTCTTGGATTTGTCACTGATAATTCACGAAGTTGTCAAAGAAAACGTCATATCAGAAAAACCATTGAAGAAGAGAAATTTTCCGCACGCGTTTTTTTTACCGTACCTATGAAGATTCAAATCGATACATGTAGACAAACTTTGAGGTAAACTATAAACATATTTTGATTTTTTTATGGGATACCTATGTATTTCTTTAGTCAGCCAATACTGGATATGTTTAAACAGAACACCCATCAAATGAAGATTTTCAAAATCAGCATTTTATTGGCTTTCTTCACTAAAAATTTGGTAAAGTTACACCTAAAATTCGTTGCGCCATGTTCAATAGACTAAAACGCACGTTCATCATGTGAAGTAACCTTAACAAATGTAAAATGATATATATATATATACCTAAAATACTATTAATTATTAACTATGCTATATATATATATATATATATATATATATATATATATATATATATATATATATATATATATATATATATATATATATATGATCGAAATATGATATGAAATAGAGATATGATGTTTTCCTAACTAAAATTGTATATTGCCCAGGAAGTGGCTTCGAATTGTTATCCGCTTTCTTGGCTGAAGCAGTATGCCAGGATTCTAAGGTCTTACGAATCTTAAAATTTCCTCTATCAATAATCTTAGTGTTTTCAAAGTCAATACGATGGTCATTATCCCAAGTATTAATAAATAATATTTAGTCAAAGAACGTCTAATCTTTTAATATGTTTAATCCTGGCTACACATCTTCTATATTTTCAATATTTGGGATAGCCTGCAGATAGAAGACATTTTGTGTTGTTTAATTAACAACCCTAGTTGCCAACTGCACTGCAATGCAATAAAAAACTGCTTTGCGACTTGCACGGAAAGTTGAATCAGCTTCTACTTTTCGCAATGCTGGGCGACAAGTTATAAGAGCTGCAGCGTCTAACACCCACAACTACAACTTGCCTCGCAATATTTGAAAAATTGACCAATCACAACCCAGATTAGCATGCGATCATGAATACTTGGTGAATGCCGCTGAGTTTATGCAGCTCGCAACATTGTTTTTTTAAATGCGATGAATGTTGCAAGAAAGCTAGATTGCATCGTGTAACCCTATATGGCCTTAGATTGAAGGTCAGAGTTGTACAAAGCGTGAAAACACTGTACACCATTTCAAGAAAGGAAACTTATTACAATATAAATTAATGTATTCTTTTTTATTAGAATAAAGAGATTGTGCGCGAAAGCTAATTGAATTATGAAAATACTATTTTTAATATTTGCGTACTGTATTTAAATCAGTAAATCTTATAGTTTTTAAAACAAAAGACACGCGTACCGTCTCTTCCAGGAAGTCCTGGCAAACCTCTATAAGATGATGTTTTTGTTTCCTTTGTGTCTCGCTTGGCTATGACACTATATTCAGGAAAAAATATGTAAAAGATATATTTGTGGATAAAAGGATATTATGTGAACCGTAAGCGATTTGCATATACATTTTACTCTTGCAAGAGTAAGTTTTCTCCATTCTGCTCGGAACATACAAACCGGAACATCAATGTTAAACATAATTAAATTATCATTGCCAAATAGCATCTCTACACAATCGTAAAGACAAGGGGTCTGTCAGTAAAATTTAAAGCTCGATGGATGACCATAGACATATCGGCTGGGGGGGGGGGAGGGGCACGGTGGGCACATGCTCCCCAAATATTCCACGGTCGGGCAATTGAGCAGAAATCCATGTGTCATTCGGGCAAAACATACAACTCTCATCAAAGTTGATAAGAATGAATGATTAAACATTATAACGCCAATATTAATTGCTTTTAATATACTTTGCCATATATGAAGAACACCTGTGTCAGTATGAGTGATGATGACTTATGGCTAAGATTATGAAGATTGCAGAAACATTGAGCATTGTTCTTAGCTTTTGTCTTAGTGTTTCTAGACATTTCGGTTAAACTTCTGCTACAGCAGCTGAGAGCAAATGACCCCCCAGTCGACTTCCCCCTTGTGCCCCCCTCGAAATCACATCCCCCCCCAGGAAAAGGACCTTTTCCTTAAGTTTATACAAACAAACCACCAGCGAAGAATAACAAATAGATAAACGGAAAGTAAGTTTTAGGCTTTATCCTTTGTCCTTGTTTAATTAACAAAATCGGTTTAATTTGTTACGTTTAAATTGTTACGTTTTTCACCACTAAGTAATGATAAATTATTGTTAATAATTTATTTATTTTTGTGCGTTTTTTCCTCCTTTTATTTCAAATACAAGCATAGTTAGCATAAATTTGAGAGCAAATTTGGATGCTCAGAATGCAGGAAATTGCATTTCCGAGATTCAAATTTCAAACATTTTCTGGGGGAGTATGCCCCCTAGAGATTCATGCGTGGTATGTCGGCCACATGGTTATCCCCCACTAATATATTATCTCACAGAGAGGTCTCTTTTCAAAAAATGCCTCCCCCGCCACGGGAAAATCCTTAGGAAAGGTCATGATAAAATCTCGAACAATGTTGTATGTGTGTACTGTGTAAACAAAGCGGTTGGGCAAACTAACACTGTGCCCTCCCCCCCCCGCCAACATGATAAGGCCCGTACGCCCATGTCGATGACTGCATTTCTGGTCTGGAATTTCCTACAGAAAATGTGCTCACGAATTTTGTCATATTGACCAGTGAACACAATATTTGCTTTTGTCATATTTAGCAATGGCAAGCCAATTTTTTAAAAATTTTCATCAAAGGGCACTTTTGGCCCCCTTGACCCCACCTCTTAGAAAAGGGGGGCTTTGCCGCTGCGAGATCGGCACTCTTGGGGCGAATGTTCTGCAATACATTTGCGTGTCGTTCCGCGCGCGCGTTATGCAGCGTGGGAGGAATACGAAGTCTCTGCCTGCGAAGCAGTGGAAGGAAGGGAGGGGTTACAATTCAACGTGAATGGGCTTCAATTCTTCCTTGCAAATGAATGGGCTTCAATTCTTCCTTGCAACTTTGCGAACTTTCCGGCATTATAAACCAAACGCGAAGCAACTTAGCCAACCAAATTGTCTGTAGCCTTTCAATATAACACTATGTACAGTCTGATTTTCAAAGGACCGTATCATTTTAACAGGCTGCACTGTAAAACACATATGTATATAGCAGCGCAATATAAAGTCTTACCGTGATTCGTCTGACTGGATAATATTGCCAACAATCATATCCATCATGAGAAGAAACGACCAAATCATTAACACGGTTTGGTTAAGAAACTTCATTCCTGCATTCGTTTGCGAAAATTGCCTTCACTTAAAAAATTGCGTCCTTCCTTTGGTACAGGTTAGGATAAGAAATGAAACAGCCTCCAAATACGTAGTGTTTTTGTAAGAAAACACAAAAGGTTTCATTTGAACCAATCAGAATTCTTTACGTCGTTAAAGCAAGCTTTAACATGTTAAAATCATGAAAAATAACAAATGTCGTCACACAGAGAGTGTGTTGGAATGCGCAAAACAATATTCAGTACTAATTATAAATGCAATTGGCACTGGGTATACTTGTCTAGCTAAAAACAAGCTATGAATTTTCAACCCTGGAAACACGTGTTTGCATCACCGTAGAAACGGAATGGAAAATATTAAAATAAGGACACCCACTAAAAATGTCATATTACGGTATAAATTGAGATGTTCTCCTAAGAAATCTAAAGCACCAAATTCTAATAGTGCAGTGAACAAAATCACATGAGTCACGATTTAGACAACAGTTACTATTTTTAGACTTTTACGGTTAGTATTAGAGCAAGGATTAGGGTTAGGATTAAGATTAGAGTTAGGATTAGGATTAAGATTAGAGCTAGGGTTAGGATTAGCGTTAAGTTTAAAATACAAAAGATTACAAAATTACATGACGTGACAGGTATACAAAATCAGATTTATATATTTGCGACACAGCTATAGATACTTACAGTATGATGCAAATTATCATGGCGCCGGTCAATGGCAAACTTGCACCAACTTTGGACATTTCTAAAACGAAAACTTCCTTTTTTTGTCAAATATACGAAAATTGTTTGATACCTTATACGATAGATAGAGTCTTAATGTAACCTATCAGGGAAAAGTCGTGGTAGGGGGTTCAGAACATCTCGCGAGCAAACGCTCACTGGTTGCAATGTTGCATGGACTTTGTCTTTGTATTTAAAATTGCAAATCAGCCGAATCATTTTTAATATTCAAAAAATGTAACATATTCTAAATCAAGCTTTAAAACGTAATTAAATTTTGACTGCCCACATTCCCGACCTGTTACCCTCCTGTGGCGGCTATCGTTCAAAGATCTCAATTGCCTTCCGTTTCAGCAAAACATAGTATTACACACATATAGTAAACACATATTGGGGGAAAACATAGTCTTGTCTTGGTATTTATTAATTTATATGATTTTATTGTCTTGAATTTACTGATATCGATTAGATCCTATAAAACATATGGCATGAGCCACTTTTAATAATATACTTAGTCTGAACACTGTGTAATGAAGCATAAGTTTTAATATTATATTCATATACTGTATCCGTAAGAAAAATCAACTGACTTCGATGCTGAATCACAGATCGGATCCCCGGATGATGATTGCGTTTTTTTGCATGCATGCATGCTATACTTATGAAATATATGTGTAAGGAATTGTAATTGGGATATTGCATCTCACGATTTTGATAACATTCAAAGAAGCGGATTCTTACGTATTTTTCTATGTTGAAGCATGCATATTTTTCCAACAGAGCATTAACAAACACAAACACTGATGACGCAAATGAACACAATAGTTTTCTTCCAGTATTCGTTTAACAATAATATGAGTATCTCTAAAATTAAGCACAGAAAAATCCTCTGTATATAAACTGCTCCATTAATTCCCTCTGTTTTCTCAACATAAGAAAGCTTTATCCTTTATCCCAAAAGGTTGCCACTTCTATACAGCGGCCTGTTTCATGCTAGAGGCATCAGGTGGCTGGCAAATTTCAAACATTTTCCGAACCAGGAACAGCTGCGAAAAATATCTTGCAGGTATCGAACATGAATCGCAGTCCAGTTATATTATATCAACTATTTTCAATAATATGTTCATAAGCCGTAAAAATATACCTGTGGTTCCGGTTTCATATCGTGAAAAAATTAGGGTCAGTAGGTCGGAAATAAATTTTTTTTGAATATTTTTTTCATGGTTTTGGCGCTGGGTTTTTTGCTGGGCGATTTGCAGTAGAGTCCCGACATCATTATTAACTTGAGATGCGTATTTCCTATGGACGAATTTAGGCAATTCGGTTCAATAATTAGTGTGACAACAAACGCCATTTTGGCACCCTGTATGAGCAGCCCGCAACCACCTGGAGAAAATAGGGTCGCACGATCAATCGCGTTGAAAAAATAATAGGGTCGGCAGAAAAAAATAGGGTCGGTCGGGAACCGGAACCACAGGTATTTTTTTTTACGCCTAATTGCCGCTGTAGTCTATACATTTGATAATATCCGGCAATATTCGTGCTGCATCTAGAAACACTGCAAGGCAATGGCATTTAGTAAAATAAATTGTATATTATTTCAGATCTATAGTTGAAGAGATTTGTTGATGCATGCATGGAACTGACTTCAAGTGACAAGTGTACATTCTATATTAACATTTATTTGATCAAAAGAGGAAGATATTTACTGGTATTTTTTGAAACAGTTATAGATGTAGCTAGATCTAAATAAAAATAACGCAGAAGGTAGGTCTCTGAAATCATATTGAAGAAAAGCTTTGGTGTTATTAAGTTATTGAGTTTACGTGAGCTTTACCAATTTTTAACAATTTGAATAACATAACAAAAATGTATATCATTCAAATGCATATCAGTCAAAATGTATATCAATAAAACAACCATGATAACAACATTATCTAAATGTATAGTACAAAGTATATCGAATGCGAGCAAAGAAATTAAGGGAAGTACAAGCAAGTGATAGTGTTGTTTGCATGACCTTCTATATATAATCAGCAAGAATACGTCTCAGCCTTTCGGAATTGTAAACTTGATGTTGTGTTCAAGCTGACTTCAAAGACTTCTCTTCTGCATCATGCTGTGTGTGTTTACTTTTATTTAGATCTATATCTATGACCGTTTCAGCAAAATTCCAGTGGATATGTCTCTGTTAGTGACCAAATATATAGATGGCCTTGTCTTGTCATTTTACCTAATTCAATTTTGTATGCTAGATGAATTTCATTAATAAAAGTGAACGTTTTTGATAAGATTATAGATTACTCTTACTATAATTTGGTATCTTTTAAAGCATATTCCAGCGAGTCTAAGTAATGCATATGTATATTGTGCTGTAAATATGTAAATCAGCCAATGTTGTGCAACTATAGCGTTCTGGCAATCTATACTGACAATGGGGCTATACAAATTTGCTTTTTTAAAATGGGCTAAATTATGATTGTAGAATAACTTTTTTAAAGGTTAGTTTAACAAGTAAGAAATAGTTTGCGCATTTTTACACTATAATTACAAACTACAAAGTGGAGGGGTATGAATATTCGACGCTCAGAGTTTCACGTGTTTAGGGGATATTCAGGGATAAACGTACGGATGCTTGGGAAAGCTCGGGTAATTAATGGATAACTTTTGTACGCAATGATGAAATTTTTGACAAAAAAATAACGTTGGTCATTTCGCCCTAGTAACTTAAAACGAATCTGGCATTCAATCCATTTACAGTTTATATCATGCATGCATTTTAAATCACAACCCAACTATATTTCGCATTATACATTACATGCACATTATTAAAACCCTGCCTAACTCATTTAAATACTAACATATGCCAATAGGCTCGGGTATATAAGTGAAAGAGAGGGGCTTGTGAGGACTCAGTTCACCACCTCTGGAAAAATTTGTAGGTAAATTCGTCGCGCAATTCACTGAATATATATTAGTCGGTGAATTGTTGTTAAAAATCTCTTGCTTGCTATATCGAGTTTGAATATAAAATCACATCTAATGACAACACGACAGTGTAATGACAGCGAAGAAACATCTTCCAAAGAGAAACTGCTTATTTTCAGGGTAATCGTGGTTCAATCACGACCAGAAATTGCATAGAAAAATGGTCATGTCGCTGAGTATTCATTGTGTATGAATCAGTCAAGAATTTTCCGCGCTTTTTGTTTTTTTGCTCTATTTCGACTTATTTGTGGCGAAGTATTAAAGGCTGTATAAGTTTAAACAGTCGACTTTAATTATGGTTCAGTCACCTAATATTTTTCTTTGGCTTCTTATTCTTAATCTCGAAATTGTACCAATAAATCAAAAACTTTCTCGACTATATCTTAAAATAATTTAGCAGTTTTCCTGATTAATTAATTAATATTCAGTACACGTCTGCATGTACATTCTACGCATGTTCAGTTAAGATCAGCTAGCTCATCTTAGCTCTCAACCTGTGGCCGCAGTTTTTTCGTGTATAGTTAGGCATGTTTCCCTATCTGTCCCGCCCTTTGGTCGACTATAGTTTTAGTATGCGCAATGCCGCTGATAAATGTTCTCATGTCTAGGGTTTTCGAGGTACTTTGGCAAATGATCACCAGCATATTTAAGCACGAAGGTTTTCCATTGCCTTGAGCCATAAGCTACATGCATGTATCTTTTTTTACAAGTATTTATATTGGTGGGAAGCAAAAATGGTTGGGTTAAGAGAAAGTGTCAAAATATCAAACGGTTGTGGCAGTGTAGGCATGTAACGGCGCCGCCAGGATTTTATTTGGGCTTTTCTGGGGAGGGAAACTTAATAATTTGTGGGGTCCGGAGGGCAAGCTTCTCCGTAAATAAATTGAATTTTAGGCCCTTGGAACTCCATTTCCTTCATTGCGAAGAATAGAAATGTAAATGTCTAATTAAACCACTTTTAACAGTGTCAGATAATGATTTCAGAATACTTGACAATTTAATTCTGTGGGAGAGATAGTCACATAGAACTTTGCATTATAACAAAGTTCAGTAGATTGTATAGCCACAGATGCTATACGAGACACTGTCTGCTGACAATTTTCCAGCCTTTTCCCCAATCTTTTATCTGATTTGAACGAATAGACAATATTCGTTCAAATCATTATTATATCGTTAGTACCCAATTCACTGACAACTTTAGATAACTCACCGCATGCCTAGTTACTATTGTTCTAGAGGGTGTGTAAAAAAAAACTGAACAGATTTGAAATTGCTCTCAATTTCGCAAAACAGCTCGTGGTATCAAGTTTTTGTTATATATAGATTCCTTTAGTACCCATAATGTAGAATAATTAAAAAAAAATAGTAGAACTCAAATTTTGTATCCAGGGGGGTGTTTCTTTTCCAACAAACTAAAAATGGCTTGCGCACGAAATTAAGAATTTAGAAGCTTTTTTAAAATCGTATTTTGAGTTAATGGATGGAAAATTTGTTAGGTTTTTAATTACTGTACAAAATTTCAGACAATTTGCTTTAGTTTAAACACTTTACTATTCTTTTTTCCTAAAAAATCAGCCTTTGGCATGCTTAATTAATGTCTTTACCTAATTTGCATATTGCTGCAATAAGAAAAAAATGTAAGTTTGCGTGAATAGTTAAAGGGCTTAAACTGAAGTAAATTGTCTGAAATTTCGCGCGGCAATTACAGTCAATTTCAGCTGACTTTTCATCGTAAGATTCCAAACTTCGTTCCGAACTTCGCAAATTCGTTGCCAAGTTCAAAAGTTCATAATGAAATTCACAAACAGGTTTGTAAACTGGGCATTTGATTGGCTGGTTTGATTTAATAGCCAATCAGAGGCTTTGTTTACAAACCTGTTTGTGAATTTCATTATGAACTTTTGAACTTGGCAACGAATTTGCGAAGTTCGGAACGAAGTTCGCAATCTTACGATGAAAAGTCAGCTGAAATTGACTGTAAACACGCAACACATTTTGCACCCATTAACTCAAAATACGATTAGTATAGGTAATCACATGGTAAGGAGTGCAATTAATGATTTTAATCATTAATTGCACGACTTGCCCGTGTGGTTATTTATTTATTTATTATATGCATGCCAAAATCGCGTTCTTTAAAATTCAACTGCATTTTTTCAAGATTTTTTAATTCTTTTGTAAGCAAGTTGGCATAAACAAACTTGGGGAATGATCATAAAGTCATAAAGGCATATAACCTAAACTAGAACACATGATTCAACTCAAACAACATATTTTAGAGTTAATTAAATCTTTATAAATTGTGTTACAGACTTACATAGGGTCACGTTTCGCTGCATCCCACCGAGATTATCACTTAATACTGTTTCCAGGTATTTTCCACAGGCTCTATTTGCCATACTATGTTTTTTAAACTCATTCTTGTGCCGAAATTTAGTTAAATTCCTCCACGTTTGTTGTTTATACAAGATAAATTTCGCCGCCATATTGGACTTTTGCTGTTTTGATTTACCGCTCCCCCCAGCCATCACGAAAATTGTTAATTGCACTCCTGGGGCGTGCACTTAGTATAGGTAATCGCATGGGGCCGAGTAAAATTAAGGTTTAATTTCACGCGTGTTTTCAAAGTTTCACAAATTGCGCGAAGCGACGAGGGCAATTTGTGAAACATTGAAAACACAATTATATAAGTGGAATTAAACCTTAATTTTACGAGGAACTATGCGATTACCTATACTTAAATAGAGAGGGCAAAATTTATTCGTAGATTAATTGTGAACTTGTCAAGTTCTTGAACCTCGTATGTCTCCGTGTCTTTGCCTTTTCCCCGATGTTTCTTAATGCTGCCCTGCCTGCCAATTGCTTAAATACTCCAACCAATTAATAAATTTGTACTTTTTCTAGTGTTCAAGTTTTCACTAAAAGTTTTTAATTCTTCAATAACATCATTATCCACGACGACAAAGCAAGAAGCCATGCATAAATGATCGTTTTTATTGCTATTTAAAACAAGAAACTTCCCGCGCTTGCGTCTCAGCCGGTCAGGTACAAGTCATTTTGCCTTGAATTAAGAAAAAATGCCCTCCTCATTAGCCAATCATATTTGAGTAATTTTGCCCTCTATATGATTAATGATGGTAATAGAACGAATAGGAGAGCTATTAATGCCATAATCATACGAGTGATTACGAAATCAACCGACCGAGTAGCGAGCGAGAGGTTGATTTGTTAATCACGAGTATGATTATGGCATTAATAGCACGACTTAATTCGTTCTATTACTTATTAATTATTTATCTTCTGTAATAAAACTGTTTAAGGGAAGAAGCACAAAAATACAATTTGTTGAAATTCAATATAATTATTAAATTTTTGTCATGACAATTCTTAGTGAAATAGTACAATTTTGAATTAAATTTATCATAATCAAATATAATTAACATATTATTAACTTCCGGGTATTATTTCCGGTATAATCACATGACAATATTGTTTGAATTTAATTATTCAACAGTCAACACACAATTGGGAAGCCATGTATTGCAAGTTTATAACGTGTTCAAAATAGTGAAGTTCTTTAGTGGTGTCTTCAAAATTTCCAAAATATGTGAATTTTTGTGAATTTTGAGAATTTTTACAGCAATAAAGAAATTAAAATTTAAAGTTTGTATCCTGAATGCTGATTGGCTAGTTGTAAATACTAGACTGATTTTCATTGGCTGTAGACAAGGGTGCGATTACAGCTCAGAAAAGGTGCGATTAATGCTCAAATCGTACTCCTGTAAACCAATGAAATTGCAGTATTTGCCACTGATTACAGAAGATAAATATTTAATGATGTAATTGCACTCCTCTTAACCAATCAGATTGCAGTAATTTTGTCATGCATATAATAAAAGCTTTTTAATCTCGTGCGCAAGCCATTTTTACTTTGTTGGAAAAGACACCCGCCCTGGTTGAAAATTTGAGTTCGAGACATTTTTTAATTATTCTACATTGTAAGTACCCAAAGAAGCACGCTATATGCCGTATATCAAAAATTGGATACTAATAGCTGTTTTGCGAAATTGAGAGCAATTTCAAATCTGTTCAGTTTCTTTATACACCCTGCAGTTTACAGAAACATAGAACAGAACAATGATAGAAGAGTAATCATTCACTCATGTATATAATTCTAAAGCTTAGTTACCTTTGTTCCATTGTGTGCTTTTGTAAACTAGAACAATAGTAACTAGGCATGTGAGATATCTAAAGTTGTGAATTGGATACATATGATAAACAAACGTTAGCCAAATTTGTCTATCTAGAAGTACACTGACCCCCTCCTCCCCATTTTCAGATGATGCAATTGCCTAAAGTATACAGGACCTTCTCTCGAAACGTCGAAATTGTTTTTGTATTTATCAGGTAGTTGTATTATCTACATACTTCGCGTTTTTATACCTTAAATCATCCACATACCCAAAGCTTTCCCCTTTCATTTTTCTCCAACTGAACTCGCTACAATTTACGATACCAATTCGTATCATTGTTTTTTTTAATGTTTCCTATTTTGATACATTATCCAATTATGGTGGATCTTATACGAAGTAGATATATTGTTTATTTTAAAAACTACTGTAGGTACAGTTATACCTGTATTGTTGAAACATTTTACTAGCGCATAATAATTACATGCTGATCATGATTTTATGGTTTAAAAAATGGACGACGTCGGATTTTCATTGATGTTGATTTCAGAGAATAGTTATATCCTTTCCAAGTTTTCCAGTTGATACCATCTGCAAACGACTTGTGTGCGCCGTGAAGATAGAGACCATTCAAGTTCGCTAAATGACAACCTCGATACCACCAAGCGCCTTTATGTGTCTGAGCACAGTGTCTGCCATTGCCGGCATCTTTAGTCGCGAACTCCGCACCTCTGTGATGAGTGAAAGAATCTCCTGCTGTACCTAAAGAAAGGCAGTATAGTAATATTTAGTCAACAATAACTATAATCGTGGAGATTACAAAAAATAATTGAAGAAAATATTATAGCAATGAGATTAGTGTCGCAACTTGGTTTTGGGGTCTCAAATTTTTACAAGTTCTGGAAAATTCGTTTGTAATTCCTATATTTCGGGATTTCAGTGGCGCGGTCGCCTGCAGAGCAAGCGTCTTTCACCTCTGCGATTGTGGATTCGAGTCTCGCTACAGACGCTGTACGGACTCATGTGGAAAGAGTCTGTCAACCCTCTGTTGAAAGTCGTGATCTGAATTTTCTCCGGGCCCTCCGATTTCCTTCCACAGAGAAAGTTTATAAGGTGAATTAGGATAAACATAGTTAGGAAAGTAATAACACAATTTTTGTAAAGTCTAGGTAATATAAGTGAGCGTAAACTAGATGTAATTGGTCACTGAAGAGCCCCACGTCTTGGAGCATTAAGACTGTAATTTTTCTACCAGTTTTGTTCGAAATCATGAAAGCATGGCAAAAACTTTTCTTCGCGCGAAATTCATTTGTTTACAACAGTCGTGAGGTTAGTAATCACCTTTCGAAAATACTTAGCTAATATACAGTACATGGAATTGAGGTTCTTTATATAGACATTTAATTGTTTTTAAAACTAGGTTATTAACGTATTTATTTCGTCATATAAGCAATTTCGTCACCTCTATGTGATGCATGCTATATCTCTGTATTATTATCGCTGTATTATTATCGCTTACAAAGGATAGTGTTTCTTATAGAATTGTTTTATTCGATATAATAAAACATCTATTAGATTTCTTTCCGCCCAATATGGTAAAATATTATGTCTCGACTTAATATTTTGTCATACTGGGCTCAGAAGAATCCAATGAGTTATATTGTAATCCCCATTGTTACAAGTTATACATATTTAGCCAAATTTCCTACCAACGTAGCCTCCAACGCTCAGCTCATACTTTTGTTGCTCATCACCGATAGCAAACGAATCATACCATGCGTATCGCCTATTCCCAGAAGTGTCTTCCATGTCAAAACGAAGTGCCGTTAGAGAAACAGCTGCTGTTAGTCTGTGGATCTTATCCAAACCGAGCCAAAATTCTCCATTCAGATTGCCGAAGCCTTTTTTGTAATCTTTCCATCCTCGGTAGAAATCGACACTTCCATCAAGACGACGTTGAAATACAGTCCATCCTCCCCCAGATGTGGCCATATCACAGAAAACATTAAAACTACCAAGGCCATCTGGGTCAATCTTGTACACTCCACTAGCATTTATTCCTTTCTCGAATAAATCAGCGCAGTCTTTACCTTATAGGAATTAAAGATAAATCAACTTTTCACATGGTATAAAAACTATTTACCTATCTAAAGTTTTATTGTAACTACAACATCTTCAAAGAAAATAAATTATGACATAACAAAAATATATTTCAAATTTAACCAATAAAAGATATGGAGAATATGGAAAATGTGGGCATTTTCGCTTTTCCCGCGCCTCTCCTCCCTAACATTCCATAGCCCATGCCTCAATTACCAAACTCTTAAAGCCGGCAACTAAACAAGCTAAGCTTATTTTATTACTTTAATTAATCTGCGTATTGCTACTGACAACTCCGAAGGTGGCATTTGAGAGACAAGCTTTTAGGTGCATGTTTAGGTGTGGTGAATAATCCGGCGTATCTATAGTGACCTTAATGTCACGTAACTTGAAAATTATAGTAAGGTACATATGATGTAAAGCAGGTGCATGTACGAGGGTGTCGGACTGTTTCACCAACATTCAAACTCCACTATATATTAATCTTAATGCACTAGCTACCTCTTCTTCTCTTCTTATAGTAATATTAGCCTGAGTATACCAGGCCATTTTTCCTTACCATGAACTATGACGACACGTAAAAAAAAACAAAATACCGGCTTTTTACCTATAATTTGTCTATTAGACGAATTTTGTTAATGCTATAGTACTGATTTAGCAGTTTCAATTATAATTAGATTTGTTGTTGTTATTATGCAAAATTGACAATTTCCCTGGAACATTTTGGTTGGATACCCGATAAACTTTACTTTGGATGGAGAGTGAGCGATTAAGATTTGTGTCAAGCTCTGTGGTAAAATAAAGCCTGACACTATGCAGGTTACGGTAATATATACACTGCTATATATGTTCGTATTATTTTGTTCACTCCAATAGACAACTTGCATGTTAGACTAATTTTTGATTTAGGCAAAAAAAGTAAATTACCGTAAAGAACTTATTAAAATCAGTAAAATAGCAAAATTTGGTTACGAAATGTTGTAAAATAATAAAATTAGAATAAAAATATCTTTTTTCGGCTGGCAGTGAAACACAGGGAAGCAAAATTTAGATATTTTTTTGGGCATGTTAGAAGACTACGGCCGCGTTATATCACGTGATGGGCAAAGAACGGAAGACGGGAAAACGACCACGCGCGGTATAGAGCGGGGAAACGATGGATAGTTTGTGTAAAGGAAGACTATGGTAGGAATGATATGGAGGAAGACTTGGCTTTGCATAGAAGAAAACCGTGGAATGTTGCGACAAGGAGCTAGGCCTGGCCTCTTTTGCATGAGGAGAAATGTAGGATGATGATGATGTAATTAAGTTATCATCAAATGCTTTGATTATAATTTATCACTTCCTAAAATCCTTGCATGAGTATTTTGAATTTGACTAAAAAACTTGAGTACGACTCAAAATATACAGTAAAATCGTTAGGAGAAATTTTAAACATATTCTTGAGTAAAGTAGATCTTTACTCAGAAAATTGTGTAAATTTGAAATTTTATTATTAAAAAGTTCGGCAAGTGCGCTCATAGGATCGAATAATTTTACTCAAAATTTTGAGTCGTTTTGGGTTCATTATTTTACTCTAGTTTAATTTTAGAGTTGTATATTTTAACAGTGATTGTAGGGTTCAATCACATAACAGGAACTTTTTTATGTTTAAATGTATAAAAATGTTTATGTATAAAAATGACACGAATTGGTTTGCTTATTTCTACTAAAATATCGGTTTGAAGTTTCGTTTGCATGATTTCTTATCAATCTTTATTTCATAGGTCAATATATATATATATATATATATATATATATATATATATATATATATATATATATATATATATATATATATATATATATATATATATATATACAGGGTGTATAAAAAAAAGCGCAATCCTCGACTGAAATGTAAATTGCTAAACAAATAATAGACGAAAACGTTAAAGTTTACATTCATTTTAAAGCGTAGCCATTCAGCTTTCTAACAGTGGGTTGTTTCTTAAATTTGACTCATTGGTTCGCGGGTAATAATACTTTACGTTATTGCGATTGGAGATTAAAAAAATTGAGATGGAATAACAAATCGTTCTCATGAAAATAACTGATTTTTTCATTAAAACAAAAAAATGTTGCGTTTTATTAAATGGATTGTAACAATAAGTATAATTACGGCTTTTCTTCCACTATTTTAACTCAGTTTGAAACTTCAAATGCGATATAATTTTGGCTTGGACCATCTAAGCTGACTGACATCAACTTGCTATAATTTCTGTTTACATTACATCGCAATTCAATGACACTCTGGCTCAGACACCAGAATGTTTTGACGATTTTTAGCATTCGTTTAGGATTTTCAAACAACCTGGTCTCTTTTAAAATACTTTAATTTGTTCTTACGTGGTTTTCCAGATGTAGTGACGACAACATTAAAAAATTAAAGAAGAAAATTCTAACATTTAAATCGACTAAACAATAACATA